AAACAAGACCGATTTCTCGGGCCAAAATTGCTTTTCTGTCAGCATAGACTCATTTGGTGAAATCATGTAATGAAAAATACACACTGCATAAACATTTCATATTGCATTTCATATTACAACCATTTTAGTGAGAAATGTCATTAACTTAAAAGGAATTCAAATCCTCTTTAAGCAGGTCATTGACCCTTGAATTCGTATGTTTACAAATGTATGCGATTTGCCTAAACAATTTTTCCGAGAAATGTAATCAACTTAAAAGGCATTCAAAACCTCTTCAAACAAGAATTCAGAGATCTCATACCTCCATGAAATATATGATTTTTGTAAATGTTTTTTTTATTTGTCTCATTGACAACAAGAAATTTTGATACATTCACATTTAACATTCAAGACTCCCCAAGGACACCACCACACACCCCCAAGGACACTGCAAGCCCTGCTTTAACTTTTCCGGCCAGAATGGAAAGCCAGGATCATGTTAGCTGCCCTTTTATACAAAACAGGTTTCTCTTGTCAAAGTCCTTCCCTAGCCTGAAACTGCCGAGGACAATTTGCTGATACCATCATTTCTTGAATTTCTTGAGTTGAGAACTTTGAATAAAGCATACCGCAAAATGAATGAATAGTAAATACAAATTTCATACTGATATTTAGAGAGTTATCATTGTAACAAGTGATTATCTAAAAAGCGGTTTTGGACACTGTATTTTTTCTCCACTTTGTTGTGCACAGTAACAGGAATGAGTTCATCACTGTAGTGGAACCAACCATTCTTCTCCATGGGGAGGTGCAGGATATGTGCAGTGGTGATGAATCTAACTGCCAGCTTTACATGACTATGTGCTTGATAAACTAAAGGATTAAAGTAAAATATTGTGATGTTCTTTTTTGGGTTATAGACCTTTTACTTCCTAAAAATGCAGCCAAATTTTGTTTTATATTCATTGGAAGCCATAATTATACATTTTGTGTGCCTTCGTTCATCTTTCATGTTCAAAGTTGTTTTGTATGTTTTCATATAAGAATACAAGTCATTTTAAAGGTTACCTTCTGGTAAGAATTCAACAATCAATAAAGTGAGATTTCAGACTGTTGCTGTTCTTGTAGTATTCCCCAAGAGAAGAGAAAGGCTGATGTAGCCACTACAGTGTTTGTCCTTGGTGCTGAAAGTGTGATGCTGCTACAATTTGAAGTTCAACATCATCTTTTTTTATGTTTGATTCGTAGCCAAGTAAAGAGGCCATTACTTTCATGTAACAAAAAAAAACATTTCTTACTGACCAGTATATCTGTCAGTCATTCTTTAAGCATTTATAGTTTTGCATGAAGAAAGGGTAGTTTGTTAAGGTTCTCTGGGTTCTTTTTGAAATGAATGGTTGAAATATTAAGTATATAGCTAAGACCCAGAAGGGAAGGATTTGGTCCCAGTTTGAAGTTTTTTTCTTTTTTTTTTCTAATTTTTTGTACATGTACAATGAGAAGAAAGGCAGCTCCAGAAAATTGGTTGAAGGAACCTCAAACAGTCCCTATGGTCGCATTGGAATGTTAAATTAAGGTTCACGCGCTGCATTCAGAAATGTATTTTTTTTGTTCTGGCAGATGTTATTTGCTCATCTTTCATGCCTGATTTACCAGTACATCGCCTTAAGCGTTCAATACATTGATCAGTCTACAGCTATGAACCCCCAAGCATCTTCATTGCCATTTCCTGTATGTTTTCCATTGCACTCTTTCTTCCCAATGTGCAAGGTGGTTTCATTACCTGTACTTGTTTTTGTGACTAGTGTGTACTCCTTTGTGGTAATGAATACGGCTTGGTACAAAAGTAATATTCTCTATACAAAAACATGTAGATGTCCTCCATATAACAAAATCCATATTTTAAAGCAGAACAAAACAATCTAATTTTTCGGGTTGCAAAGAGCTAACCTAACTAATATCATCTTCAGATGGTTAGGAGATTACAAGAGATTCTATAACACTTTCTGTTTTATTGTTCATAAATAGCATGCCCTACACACAGTTTATGACACTAAACTATGTCTACAATGAATAATGGTGTCAGATCGATCCTACGCAGCATCATGTGTCTGGCTCAAAAGTGCATTCAAGATTCTTAAAAAAACTATTGAATATGTGATCAGGCAGACTATTTACCAGACGTATCTGGGAAGTGTTTTATTTTTGCTGAGCCAGTGAAGCCGTGAACTTGCGGTGCTGAGATAAACAACGTTCACTGACAACTTCATTCTGTTTTTCCATGCAGAAGACAGCTTCGAAGGTGAATTTTTTCCCTGTCATATTTAGTTTACAGACAAGACAGTCCTCAGTTTTCTCTTTGAATTCTCCTCTACAGATCTTTCAGTCAATTCACATTTGTCAGAAGAATTACGAAAATGTTATGTGAAGGACAGCAGTTGACTTCACAAAAGCAAAGCAAAAATAGTCATCTCTGGTTCTCTATCATTCTTTGTTTGGGGCTTGCTTCTATGAGAGGCGTCGCTTTCCCGCAAGGCTGCACCATTAAACAAGAAACTCACGGTGTGTTTACACTGGTGAAATTGAACTGTCGGGGATTAAAGTTGACAACGGTCCCCAAAAATCTACCAGCTGATCTTACTCGCTTGGAAGCTTCCTGGAACCACCTCAAGAACCTGACAGACGTTCCGGTACTGAAAAATCTCGATTCACTGGACTTGAAATTTAACCGCATTGAAACCGTGGACTGGGCGTCTCTCCGCAATTTACCCAATTTGGAATCCCTCTACTTGACGCACAATCGAATCGCACACGTGAACTTGGATGTTGTGGATGTCGGGAGGGATTTGCCCAAACTGTCATACGTAGGTCTGTCGTACAACAGGATAGCCTCCGTCTCCTTACACGAGTTGGGATATCCCTTTAACTTCCCATTTGCCATAACACCGCTGCAAAACAACCCCTTTACCTGTGACTGTGCAATGCTGTGGTTGATGAACAAACTCAAATGTCTAGTAGAACAGTTTGAATCCGGTTTACCTTCCCGTGCAAAAACACTCAGGTGTGAATGGTGTGACGCCTGCGTGCTGGCTTACTATCAGGGACTCAGCACGGCTTTTAAATGTGCCAGCCCTAAGCACCTCAAGGGAAAGCTCTTGTTGGAAGTTTCACAAAATTTGACAGAATGCGGAACTGAAAAGTCAGTCTCAACAATAACTACTGACCTTGGTCTTTCTACTGGACATCGTCAGGCTTACGGTCACGCAGCAGCGCCATCTAACGACATGCTAAGGAAGTCCAGCTGCTCGCAAGGCGCGGACGGGAATGTCTACCAATATGTGTTTCTCTCAAGTGGCCCTCACGATTGAAACGGTGCCCTCTAGAAAGCCAGGCTATGTTGATTTGATTATACAGATGACATCTCTGGGAACCCCAAAACTGACGCGAGCGTCCGAAAAAAAAGTTTGGCAAAAAAAGTTTCCTTCATTATGAAATCTACGTGGTCATAGTGGTTGAACAAATGACTAAACTCACAGAGTATGATATGGCGAATTGACTTCGAATTAAAATCTTTTTTCAATATTTTTTTGGCAACATACGACATATATTTGCTCATTTTGTACAATTTACAGTATGGTCGAAAACGTTTTTTTTAAACGGACGAAAATGTCATCCATATACATTGTAATAAAATCAACATGGCATTACGAATACAGCATATGCATAAAGAATCTTGATATATAACGAAATATATAATGAAACATTTGCAGTATGGTTTCTGTCCGATCAACAGTCCCACGTATCAAAAAACAAAACCACCAGTCTGTCTAAACATGACAGACACGATGCAGATGTCAGTCGAAATATTAAAGATTCCATGGCCTCAAGCTACTCAAGCAGAAGTCGGGGCAGAATAATAGATTTGCTTTGTGAAATTCAGAAACCAAGCCCTATTGTACTAGTTAGATTTATTGATATCAACATCACAGATATCCACAGTCCACAGTTTGCAAAAGTATAAGAAGGATACGTAACTATACATTTGTGAAGTTTAGTCATATCTACTATTAGATCAATATATATATTGTAATTCAAACTTTACCACTGGATAAAATTGAAACAATTTGTTAACAGATGTTTCAAGTGTCTGTCCGACACTCTTCATCAATGAAGAAAAATGTTTATGCAAGATTATATTATATTATATTATAATATTATATTTACATGTTTATAAGATTTATGGAACAAAAAAAAGGTTCTAAAATAAGTTTTTGGACATTTGTACTTGTGCCTAGTTTGGCATAGATGTACAAGTAAGCACAACCAAAACAAGTCCTCGGAGATCTCATACCTCCATGACATATGCAGAGTTTATATTAATGTTTTTATGTTTAGGGAGGGGCATTTGTGTCATTGATTATGGAAATAAGGTCATAATTAGCATAATCTAGTTTAATCTATGGTTTTCGAAACTTAAATCACAATATTTTGCTTGTAAAATTCCTATCATTTGGCAATATTTTAATTCAACATGACATTAATTGTGCAAATGACCTCTATATTAACATGATATTTGCATAGTGATGTTAATCTTTAGAACACCCCCAAGAAGCTCCTTCACAACTACTTTTAGCCTGGTAGGTCGCAATGCTTTTGCGTAGTACGTTTTAAGGTAACAACAGATGGCTTTGGTGGCGCCAAGGCTCAATTAGTTTTCAGGATTCAATTTAGAATGCTTTCAAATTTAAGTTAAACCTAAATCTAGCTCATGCAGTTGTTAATATGGACTGGCGGTTGTTATGGTCTTTTATTTACAGTTCTCCACGATGGTTAAAGTAATATAGTGGTTAAGTGCTTTCAACAATGTAGTTCTTACGTAACGTCTCGTACAATCCAAACAGAGATGTAAGTTGATTATGGAACCTGGGAGACGGAGGGTTCTTGAAGACTAAACAGTCAGATCGTAGTGTGAAAACTTTGCAGTTACTGTATTATTTGGGATCACCTTGTCTCAAAAGCAGTGCATTCAGTTCATACGTTGAAACAACCAAGGACAAGCTTCATCTGACAACTCGTAAGTCATCTTATTTTTTCCGCATACTAATGTATTATCATTTAATAAGTACATTTCAAACGGTTGAAATGGATGCATCACTTTGTGTACATATACATTGCAGCATAAAATTGAATGTAGATTATGTACTTGACATGTTCAGCTTTGGTCTGCTAGCCTAAGGGTTTGTGTATCATAATATGCAGATTTGGCAGAAGTTGTTCAGTCTCTTTCAAACTGGAAACAACTTTGCATGTTGTGTCACTATCAGAAGAAACACCGGACGATGGACTTCAGGACCCACAAAGCCTCGGTCCTCTTGTGTATTTCTGTCCTTTGCTGCGGCACAGGGGCCATCGGGATAATTACTGGACAGCAAGCAGCCTATTTGAAAGGTCCTTAATATGTTTCTTCCTTTTATGTGTTTTCTTTTGTAATTATCTTTGCCAAAAAAGGTAGCGTTTGTGTGTTTGTATGTGTGTGTCAAGGGGAAGGTGAATGTTGTGAAATAAAACATATTCAAATCAGGACCTCATTTGCATAATTAATGATGAAATGCTATAATACCCTTTTTTTCTAAAGATAGGACTAACATTGGGTAGAAAATATGATCAATTGAATTCATGAAGATGACAGTATTTGCAAAACACTTTTTGTAAGAATTTGAGAAACACAATTCCTCTGACGGTCTTAAAAGCTGACATCATTTGACGAAGGTATGAAACCGTGGTACTCTAGTTACGTGTTAAAAACATTGTCTGAGATATGATGAATTTAGGGACTAGAATATGAAACTTTTAACTGAGTAACATTTTCCAGTCCGGATGGCAGAAGTAAAGACAAAGATTGACGGAGTGAAGTCCCGGGTAGGGAACGTCCGGGAGTCGGTCATCTCTTTAGTGCAGAATCGTCTGCCGACTGTGGCTACCTTTTCTGCTGGTAAGACATTTTTAAAGACATCCCATGTAGTTTTCAGAGCTTGGAAACCCGTCAATTATCTACATACATAGTGAGTTGAAACCACACTGTCCCAATGTATATATTGATCATGACGGACCAAAAATTCCCAACATTCTGACAGAAAATGGTTACTGGAAGGGCCCTGGGCTGATGTTTATGGTACCACCCAGAAAATAATTGACTCATATTGGAGCTTATTTCTGCTGTTTTAAACGCCCAAGGTATGAAATACTGACTCAAAGTGCTAATGTGAAGCAGTATGTGTCAATATCACAAAGATATTGAGAAGAACCAGTGAGAATATTTCCTATTTTGCTGCCCTGAAATCGCATTGGATGCCTTTAAAATAATTTCTTTTTATAACAACATCTTTTACATGCAAAATTGGCCAAAAGTTAATCAAGTCTCATCTTGTATCCTAGCCTTTTAAATTCATTGACGCCAGGAAATCGAAATTATAGACGTCATATAGCATCACATTCCATTACTTAATCTGCCATTGTTGTACGATAAAAAGTAGCATTTCGACAATTTGTAAACTGAAACGTACTTGTCAGAAACGCACGACTTCGCGAGGCCATTTTGTCAATGATATGATAGTAGAAAGTGCATCTAGATCTTCACATTCCTTTCCAGGGCTTTGATCGCACTGTTTGTTTCATGAATCTGTTCATCTTTTAATCGTCGTCATTGTGTTTGGCCATTAGGTTCCTGTCCAGACCCCCCAGTCATCACCGGAGCCAGTATCTTCGGTTGCAGCACCCCCTATGAGGAGTCCGAAGTCTGCATCTACACCTGCAGCAGGGGGTATGTTCAGGAGGGGGGCACCCGGAGCCGCGCCTGTAGGGGAGAGAGCTGGGAAGGCTCGGATCTCGTCTGCACCGAACAAAGTGAGCTATGTTTAGCATCCTATAAACAAGGAACGTCTAAAAATTGACATTTTCTCATAGCTATTCAAAGAGGCTCTGTCCAACAAACGACTGTACCCCTCACCACTGACCAAGTGTCTTTGACCTGAACAGACTCTGAGTTGGGACCTGCATGATCTAACTCATGTATGCTAATTTATGTTTTATTTACCCATTTTTAATCTCCTTGGTTTGCGTCGGAATAAGCAGTGCAGTAGTTTGTTGGGCTAGACCAGGTAAACATTATGCATTTGCTTACCAAATGTTACTTTTCTCTTTTACATTTTGTTTATCGTCAATGTTCTTGGCAATAATGTCACAGCACGAAAACAGACATTTATGCAAAATTTCTGCAATATGTAAATAAGTATTAAAGGGAGGAAATATTTCAGTGGACTTTACGTTAAGGCCACGGAAAGGCAAATTCCGCCTTTCCGTCACCTTTCAGTGCGCTTAAATACTACTCAAATACATTTCATATCTTTACGCTTCCTTTACAAATCCGTAAACATGTGCAGCTTTAGGTTCCTGCCCAGACCCCCGGAACATCACCGGAGCCAGTATCACCGGCTGTAGCGCCCCCTATGAGGAGTCCGAAGTCTGCATCTACAGTTGCGACAGGGGGCATGTTCAGGAGGGGGGCAACTGGACCCGAGCCTGTAGGGGAGGGAGCTGGGAAGGCTCGGATCTCATCTGCAGTGAACAAAGTGAGCTATATAGTATGATGTTGTACTTTATTCCAACACAAATTTTCTACGACCACTGTTGCCTTCATCAGGATAGTTATTGACAGTGGTCGTTGAAATTTGATTTCTTTGTCCTTGTTATGTTGGTCAGGAATAAAGTTCAACATTGTACTATGATTACTACCAAATTGAATACAGATGAACTTTCAACTGAAATTTAATGATAATGTGAGCTATATTTTGCACCCTATTGTACATTTTCTCGTAGCTATGCATTAAAAAAAATTAGAAAACAAAGAAGCATCTCCGATTTGCAATTCAATGATTCAATGATATGAGTCAATGATTTGAAGTGAATTGACTCATCTTGTCCCTGTTGGGAAGGCTTGGATAGCACTAGCACTGTTTCTTTATTTCATTTTTTTATTCATATTATGTTTATCATCAATGTTCAGCTGTAGGTCCCTGCCCGGACCCCCCGACCATCAGCGAGGCCCGTACCTTTGGCTGTGACGCCCCCTACGAGGAGAATGAGATCTGCACCTACTTCTACAGCTGTGAGAGTGGGTACCTGCAGGACGGGGTCCTCCTGAGCCGCACCTGCCAGGGCGGGATCTGGGAACAATCCGATAGCAACTGCACTCAAGAATGTAAGCCATATATTAACCCCTGCCCAAGCAACTAAGTTATTTTTGGCTTTTTTGTCGGGGTTTCTTTTTGCACTGGAATTTTTTTTCACCCAACCCAACCTCTGCCGGCACTCACCCCGGGATGAAAAAAATTCCAGTGCATAAACCCCAATAAAAACAGCATAAAAACACGCCAAAAATAACCCAAAACCCAAACCTCTGCTTGGAGAGTACCAAACAACCCCTTCGAGACTCAAATTGGAATCTAGCTTCCTAATTCTTTTTAGTCAAACCATAACATCAGGCAAATTTGCCAAGCAAACCCACCAATTCCAGGTAGAAAGGTGTCTGAGCTTTTTTTACCCCGTGGAGAGAGGTATCCTTCCGCCCGAAGGTACTGTTTTCGTTGGTGTTTGTGTATTTCCAGCTGTAACGCATACAGCCATAATAGTTTTGACCGATTTCTTTCGGACCGATTTTCGGAAGAAGATTGGTTATTAGGGTCCAGATGATGTTTTTTTTTTCAGGTATTGAAATGATTATGATTAGACACCCCTGTGGTGTATGCCATGTGGTATCGTCTACCTGTTGTCCACCAAGCTTATTTACACTTCTCTAAGAAGGTTGTATTGTTCATTATAATTGTGATTTCTGCAATTGTCAGCAGTTGTTGTGGACATTATGCAGTATATACTATCCGGAGGTTTGAAGTCTAGATATCAGTTTTCTTCTTGACAGATTATTTTTAATTGCAAATCTGAGTCTCAAAGGGGTTGATTGGTCATAGGCTATTCAATCATTACAAAATACATCAGACTGTAAAATTGTCAATTAAACATCATATTACAAGCTGTGCATAAAATCATAATACCACTACGCATGATGCTCAGAGAGTAACATGTGCAGATGGTATGAAAGACTGTACATGTTCATGACGTTTGTATCTTATTCTGGAACTGTTTCAGATTGCTTCTGGGAAGGCGCAGCTTCCTTCTGTGACCCTGATGCTGACTGTGACTGGGAAGGCCACGTGCAGGGTGGCAGCTGCGGGGACGGACAGTGTTGTTTTTCGGACGTGGAAGTATACAACTGTAATGGTGAGACATTTTTATTTTTCGGACAGAAGTATTGTTTTGGGTGGCGCCAAAAAGTTGGTACGTTTGGGTTCCAGAGTGGCAAAGGTTGCTATAGAGTGGAAGGTAGTTTTGGCAGTAGAAGCATGTCATTGTGCAATAATTATGCAACAATTCAGAAGTATTGTAATGCTGATAACATCCATTTAAAGATTACACCTCCAATATACTCACAAAAACCTAATACTCTTTCCAGAAGTCTGAAATTCACAAGCAAACAAGATTAACAGTCGCACAGACTGATAGCTAAACTATGCCAGGTAATACAAAAGAAATATTCATATAAGCTAATATCATAATGATTGTAATACAGGAAAGCTTGGATTTAACAACCGGTTACATTTCTGTTTACAGGCGAATGAAACAGGCTCACAGAATGGCAAGCTTAACACACTTCATCCCCGACATCCTGGTTCAACGGCATGTCTACTTTCGTGGCACAGTCACTTATTAGACACATGCTTATGCTCAAAATTTAAACTATGTTGCACATATTTTCACATTTATTTCATATAGAGGTTAGATATGCAGAGAACTGTGAAAAGTAGAGTCACAATAATAATAATTGCTCCTAAGGAGCTGTGTAACACAAGTAGAATAACTGTCTTGAGATAATCTCGTTTTGACTGTAATACATTTGTATATCTAGTATTCGGTGTAGGAGGTTTCCTTTGTTTCAACTCAACATTGTAACAGAGACAGTGTGTGACACACTAGAGTTCTACCATCTCATACCTTCGCCAAATGATGTTTACCTTGAAGCTAGGAGCTATGAATAAATCCTAAGAATCTCAATATCGTGGCTACCTACTCCTATTTGTCAGCTTGTGTATAATAATGTGAGGGCACTCCATATACACATGTTCGTGTTCCAGTTATTGAATTCCCTGCCTAGGCTACCAGCAATATAGCATTGTAATTGTAATTACAATAGAATGTCTGACGGTTTATAAACATATGGAACGATTTGCTTAGTTGCAGCTGTGGACCTGTTTATAACTTGTAGTGATGCAATATGAACATACGGACCAATTTAACCCTCGGAGTGTCACACGCAAGAAGAAAGCTGTCACCATAATTACCTTCGGTAACATGTGTCCTCCAATCGGTTCATTAGTACCGTGGCCGACAGGGACATTCGATTTTCTACACCCCTGCTTTATCTTCTCGGCACCTCTGTTTTAGCTGCGACACACATATAACCGTTGGATCCTAATTATTGTAAGACCTGAGACCGGAAACACAACATTTTCCTAGGCCTTAGCTGCTTCTAAGACGTGCTTGTCAGGTAGCTAAGGCTGGGGTACAGAAACTAGTACCTATTGTCTACTGTACATCAGACATTTTCGCCTTAGGGCATTCACTTAAACTAAGATCAATACATTTCTCTACGGTGCATCATTACATGTAGATAACGCCATGTCCCTACCACATGACACCACGTCACAAAGACTGTGTACCAGCTGTTATCTGCCTTAGGGTAGAGACATCCACGTATGTACAGCAAGAGCCACGTAGAGGCACTATACAGGTCTGCAATGAGAAAAAAAATGGACGTAGTTACAGTTTTTGTTAGCCTTTCCTGGTTATTGTTATGGCTGTGCCCCTTGAAAGTATCTTCAGAGATGTACTCGTCTATGTCCCGTCTTGAGAAGTTGGTGGCTGTGGAGGAGAAACTGGTTGAAATGTCGAAAGAGTTTCTGAAGGAGGAGAAACATCGACTACAGTCATTAGAAAGGTAGGGAATGCACTATGTGCAATTTTGTATGTGATTTGGGGTAATAAGGGTATACGGATATAGCTTTCGAAACCAGCTTCCCTTTTCCGCCATCTCCTAGCATAGTCACCCATACCTCATACCCAGAAGTGGTCTTTTTTTACCTAATTGAGCACAAACTCGTTATCGAGAAGAGTTAAAGGCATCCAACGCACTTTCAGGGTGGCAAAATAAAAAATATTCTGGATGAGGAAATCTATCTGATATTAACATTTACTGCCATTTCTTAGCACATTTTCGTCAACATTCATGCTTGAAGCATTTGAAATGCATTTAGCCGCTAAACAGGCCACGTAATGAGTCCCTTTTCATACAATTAATAAATAGCTAAGAACCAGCCTATGATACAAATTACAAGCAACCGTTTTCAAGTCAGTGACATCACATTGTTGCCTGACAGATATCAAAATGCTATGGGATAGGAGTGATTCAACTTACTAACCTAAAAAGATTAACAGGAAATTGACTTTAAAAATCCAGTTTTACTGTCCTGAAATTGCTTTGGGTGCTTTTCATGTCACCAGATATTTGATTGCAGTTTTGTAGAGACAGCAGAGCAGCAGCTGCAAATGAGCATGAACAAGTCCATGTCCCTGGTGCACCACCCGGTCGGAGCGTACCTACTGGTGAAGAGACTGAGCTCGGACTGGTTACAACAAGTCAAGAGCGTCTACCAGCCTCTCACAGGTAAGAGCAAGGTCAATTTTTCTATGTCGTACGGTTGCAAACTGTACTCTCCGAGTAGGCATCGGCTTATGTTTGACGTATTTTAGGCGTTTTTGTCTGGATTTTGTGTTTTTTTTTACGCCAGCCTTGATAGTCCCTGGCCAACTGGTACTGTCTTGCCAATTTGATACTGTCTTCTAGCCACCAAAAGACCTGCTCAGAGATTACTGAGGACATTTTAGAACAATTAGGCATGTGCCCTGTAAAATTCAGCTGTCTTATGGAAAAGGCTGTTTTCTTAGATCCTTCTCATGATCAGTGGATGCACTTCTGTTACAACCTGCTTGAAAATTCTGCTAGTTCAAAATCGTACGACAACTTACAACATTATATAGAATCCAGGTGATAGACTAGACAAGCCGATATGCTACATGTACAATGTCTTTGTCTGTATGATACGAAAAGGTCACAGTCTATAACCCCATTCCTAGATTACGTGAACAGATACAACAGCGAGTATCACGGACAGCTTCCCACGGCCGAGGACGCCCATTGGTCCGCACATGCCATTCTCAGGCTGCAGGAAGTTTACCAGCTGGACATACGTAATATCATCAGTGGCCAGATGGAGCTAGGACTCAAAACGAACGACAATGGTAAGACATTGGAAGAGTGCACTTAGCCTCTACCAATCTTCAGAGGCATCTGGAAATAGTACAGAGCAGCAAACTGTAACGTTGCTTCTTTAGCGGACCAACTCCTCTGGCATGTTGCATTTGTCTGACTGTGGTCAGTTTCTCCTCTTTCCAGTCGCCTCTGAGTTTATCAATTGGATAGAATGTCTAACATTCTGCTGATGTTCTACCTGGATGTCTAGCATTCACCTACATTCATTCATTTAATGATTCATTCATTCATCCTAGGTGTGGCAGTATCTGCCTCTGCGGAGCAGAATGCTTTGCGGTTGAAGAGAGGGGACGTGTTCGAGATAGCCAAGGGTGCGTACAGGAACAACGACTACAGCAGCGCCATCAAGTGGCTGAACGAGTCACTGCAGATGATGGAGGAGGAGGAGGAGCCAGTCAAGAACAAAGAGACTCCAGCTGAGGGTGAATGTGTTCTCCGCTTTGTACCTTATATATTAACCTTCCACTAGAGGCTTAGACCACTGAGTGATCAATATTTGATAAAACCTTTTAGTGGGCTTTGCTGCATATCAGATCATAATTTAACATCTTGCATAAATTCTTAAATTAATTTTGAAATCAGGGGTCACACAAATTCAAGTTTGATCGATGTACATTTTGTATGGTCGCTCATGACTGGGAGATGGGGGGGGTGCTTGTATTGGTTACAATTGGAAGTGATGACGATGCTAGCTGGGTCGCCATTGGTGTGTTCACTGCCAGCCTGCTGTTTTGATTGGTCCTTTTGATTGGTCCTTTGACCATGCAGGTGACGCCATGCCAGGTCAACGTTCTGCTGCCAGGTGTGTTACCTCCTGGCATGTCATGTCATCGTGGCGGTCTGTCCAGTGCTAGCCCGGCCCTACACGCCTCAGTACCTGGCAGCCTAGCTAAGCCCTAAGGCTGGGTGGCTGACATTCTGGCCATATGACAAACCAGTTTGATCGTTGCTTGGTTGTGAACTGTAGACCAGTTTGTTTCCGACCATCTGTGTAACGACTCTGTTCCTGACCCCTGTCTTCTCTCCTTGCCTTTCCGGCTGCAGGGGGTGACGACACTGGTGATGGTAGTGGTGCGTTAATCTACAGCGGAAACAACAAGAAAGAAAAACTCAAATTCAGTGCCCTGCAGTATCTCGGATACTCTCTATACAAGGTAATGTTTCATCTTGCAGAGAATTATGTGTAACTATATTTGTCATGATTTTTACATGTTATGTACAGCTTTTGATTAGGTTACATAGCTGCATTTTTTAAATAATCTAATTATCTTTGCAGCAAGGTGACCTTGAAAAAGCGCTGACAATCTACAAACAAGCCTCGGCCCTTGGTGAGTACTGAGAAATTTCAGTAGATTCATATATTCCTATCTTCTATACAATTTTCGAAATGGACGTAACGTTTTCAGACGGAATCTCCCGGTTTCCGCCAAACATTTCTACCTGTATCTATATAGTCAGTATAACTGCCCTTTGGCATAACACACCAGCCTCGCGGCGTGGAGGCAGCTACCTATATTACACTGAACGACCAGTATTTTACACCTGACCTTTGCACATCTAACTGTTAATCTGTATAGAAAAAAAGGACAATATATATACTTTGATATAATTATAATCCTATGAGTCGGATCCGGAGTAACCACGGTTTTCCAGTGGTAACGCATGATCCCTGATAACTTTGTAACTTTATTCTTTTTTCTTTCCACATTTTCTTGGAAGATCCTAAACATGACGAAGTCCGTGACAGCATCAAGCTCCTGCAGAGGAAGATTCGGGCCGCCAACATGTTCGGAAACGTCAACAACGACGAACACCCCCGCCCGTGGGCTACCGTGTCTAACGCCAAGATGAACAAATACATGGCTCTCTGTCGACACGGAATACAGCCGGTGAGTCTGGCTTAATCTTTATACGGCGTAGTTAAGGTAAAGTTAAGATCCTTCCCGCTCCTAAGATGCATGGGGCAGCTACTCACTTGGTGATGGCACTGGTTTGCATTATACAGTGTTTCACCTTTATGAACGTCCCCACAACTTCACTCCCGAGAACTACCCAAACAATGTCGGCACTGGGTTGGAAGTATAAAATGGAATCCATCCTCTTATTTCTTCTTGACAGCAGTCATAGTCGACTTGCGCGCGCAGACAACTTCTAAAGACTAGTAGGCAACCTCACAGACTAACTCCCAACCACAGATGACGTTACTCACAACTAACTGCCAACTTTGTTCTGGGGAAGGCCGGGAGGTCGTGGCCGGCTGTCTACTATGCCATATTTTGACCGAATGCCATTTATAAAAGGTTTTTTATTTATTATATATGACAAATTCTTAAATGCTTGTTTCCAGTCGCCCAGACATACAGGCTAGACTGAAATGTCATTACCAAAGTAACGGTAACCCCTACCTTCTGCTGGGTCCTGTCAAGACTGAGGTACTCAGTAAAAAGAAGCCGGAAATAACAATGTTCTACGACGTCATCACAGATGAAGAGGCGCAGACTATAAAAGACCGTGCAGTCCCGAAGGTATGGCAAAAAGCCTGTTACATGAATTACCGTACTGAGTGTGGATGGTTCAGCACCAAGGACGGGTTTGCTTGAGTGTGGATGGTGTTCAGCACCAAGGACAGATGTTCGCTTGAGTGTGGATGTGTGTGTATGTGTGTGTGTGTGAGTGTGTGTGCGTGAACATGTGTGTATGTATGTATGCGCGCGCGCGTGTGCTTGTGAACTGTATAAATTGAGAAGTTGTCAATTGATCTGTATGATATTCCATACGTGGGTAGGTGTTGGCATAACAAAGGACAAGTTTGATTATGTCGATTATGGCTCCTAGCCACTTTCTATGGTACTGCATCAAAATTTTTGCATTCCATAGCTGATCTTTCTCGTTCTCTTGCAGATGTTTCGCTCCAGGATTGGAAACTCCATAAGTGAAGTTGAGAGCCACATTCGAATCAGCCAACAGTAAGACATTTATTTTATATTCATGTGGGTTTATCTTCATCTGTACACAGTGAAAATAGCATGATGCATTAAACTACATCTGCTGGTTCTCAAGCACTATTCTTGGTAGCAAACGAACCGCAGGGTGTCTGCTACAGCACCAGTTACACCAGATAAAGAAAATCAGTATTTGTACGTTTTCCCTCTGCAAAGGTAAACATGATAACATTGGCTTGAGTAAAGAGACTCTTTCTACACAACAAAGTCTTTTATTCAGCCGATGTTTCGGTCACCATCTTTCACCTTCCTCAGAGCAATTCTCACTGGTTCACATTGCACTGCAGCACAGGTGTCGCTGCTATAGATGCATTCCCAAATGTACAATATTTACAAATCTACACATTTTATGTGTGGTTACATGGAACTGTATCTACTATGCGGTCCACAACGTATATGTGTAGATATGTAAATATTGTACATTTGAGAATGCGTCTACATGTATAGCAGCGACAGTGTGCTGCAGTTCAATGTGAACCAGTCAGAACGGCCCTGAGGAAGGTGACAGGCGGTCACCGAAACGTCGACTGAATAAAAAAAAATTTGTTGTGTAGAAAGAGTCTCTTTACTCAGTGACTTACTAATTTGATGAAACTATTCAGGGATAATATTGACTTGTGTTTGTTTCTCCAGGGCGTGGCTGCATGACAAGGATGATGAGGTTGTAGCTCGCGTGAGCAGACGGATCGGTCTCTTCACCGGTCTCAACACCAGCCCCACATCCACAGAACTACTCCAGGTTACGTAAATAACTCAAAATATATATAGCTAGAAAATTAACATTTGCAAAGCAAATGCATAATGTTTACCTTCACATATGGTCTGCTCTGTTAATTCTTACACAAACACATTCACATATATGGTGACAGGAGTCTAAATCCCTCCAATACTATAAGATTGCAACATTATGTTCCCCAACACCAGTTACCATGGTGAGCGACAGTCTAGTTCAGTCAGGTCAGAGGTCATTGTTTCGAGAAGAAGAAGAAGAGAAAAACATAGCAAAAATAGTATGTTTTCCTTCGGTAAACATAAATACATATTAAACCGGGTTCTTCCTCCAGAACAACATGCTTCTAAATTGTGTTTAAAGAAACCCAAAACTTTCCAGCCTGATTGGGATAGAGAATGTTCCCGGGCATCCTTTGTAACCAAACCCATGTTTCTCCTATTGGGTCAGTTCTTCCTCATTCCCAGTACAAGTGAAGCTTGTCTCGAGCATTGGTGTTTCAGACTTCGGGGGAAGAGATGCTGTTCCAGTAACGCGAATTGAGTGCAAGACAAAAAGACCATCTGTAAGCACTGAACTGGGAAAATAAGTTTTAAAAAATACACTGACTCAGACTCACCAGTTTTCGGGTTCTTCGCATGATTATTGAATTGATTACAATATACCACAGTGCAGATAGGGAATCCTCTGAATCAGCATACCAAAACTGAAGTGAGTGGTGTTGCTTCGAAATTACCAAAATTAATGATGTATATAGAATATCAGTGTTATCTCTTTCTAAAAGCAGATGAAACTGTCCTTTCAAACGTTACAGGTGCTGAATTATGGACTAGGAGGGCAGTACGAGCCTCATCATGACTACATGACCGTAAGTACCTGTATTTATAAGTTTTACTGGTAATACTGTAGGTGATAGTATTGTTGAAAATTATCACAATCATGTTGAAAGTATTGTTGGCTTTAGGCTCCTACATCTTGCATCACCTGTGATAAACAACTTACACCTAATCATTTTTCAGGCCGAGGAGAAAATGTGGGGGACGATATTGGGCAACAGAATGGCAACTTTCCTGTTGTATGTGAGTATAACACTGTATTGTTTATAAGCACAGTTCGGGTAACAGACGTTCCAGTCGAGGTCGGTGTGCACGGGCGAAATCTCTAGCATTTTCACTATAACTTACTTAATGGCAACTTAAGTCATTAATATTTTACACACAGACTTCCAAGATAATTGAGAAATAATACCTACATAACTTATGTTTTACGCACAAATTTGAATATATGATATCACCCAGTTTATTAGCTACATGAACAACCTGTTGTCTAACCTTGCCTCTGACCTCAACGTAATCACATAGTTACGTAGTATAGATTTATTTTCATTAATTTACAGAACCTTGGTGTCTTTTGTATAGGGGTGTGATATCAACTTTACAACTGTCAGCTGGTTTAATTAGAAATTATTGTAATCTATGTAACGTTACCTGTTATCCCTGTGTGTATAATTAATCGTTGACTTACGAATACTGGCCCAGCTGCCCAGTTTGAAATAAATAAATAGATAAATAAATGAACACCCAGTTTATGACTTTGTACTTTTTCTCGGTATCAAGCTGAACGGCGTCACGGCTGGAGGAGCCACCGTTTTCCCAGTCGTCAATGTTACGGTTCCAGTCGTGAAGGTCAGTCTTTATTTGTTGGATTGAAGACACAGCTGAGCTGTCCAACCAACATGGGGCTATTATAGACGGCAAACCTTGTAGGGATACAGTTGTAACAATGTATATTCAATTTGTTAGTGTTGTAATGTAACAATGTCTGTAAATAGTATTGAGATCTTTCCGTTGTTATATGTATTCTTGTTGGTTCTAGTCCCTCCCTTGAGCAGGGATTGCCACCTGTTCGAACAGACAAGAATACAAAGAACAACTATCTATAGACATTGTTACATTACAATACTAACGATATACATGGTTACACAGTGATGGGACATGTCCATACAACCAGTAAGCCTAAAAATAAAAACATTGATTCTTCATTACAATATATCTCTATACACACAATTAACATAGTTTAAACTTCCTCGCATAGAGAGTTTTTTTTAAGTATTTACAATAAAAAAAATAGTGTTTTATGAGTAATCCCCTAGCAGATTCATTTGGGGACAGGGGATCATCAAATCGGCCACCCAATTTGCCTCTACGGGCGGGCACTGGTTGCAGGCGGTCAATATAGAATCCGCTTACCTCCGAGAATCTGTTTGGAGATTACTTTATCAGTAGTCATTACTAGCAGGTTATAACAAGTCATGGCAAAGAGGTCCCGAGTTCGAATCCTGTCATGCCCCCGATCTTGTGCCCTTGGGAAAGGCACTTTTTAGACGACTTAACTCAGGTGAAAATGAGCATGTCTATCGTCCGTTCATTTGTTTGTTCTCTACGTTGGTGGCGGTATAAAAATAAGTTTAAAAAACTTGAGTTTGCTGTCACCATGTTTTATGGTAAATGTTTGATTAAATCAAAAGACCGTGACTTAGAACATCAAATCAACAACCCTGACCACGAGGCCACCTTGCTTTTTTTTTTTAGAATGCCGGATTGTTGTTTATGGATCTTCTTCGGTCGGGAAGGGGCGACGAGAACAGCCTACATGCAGGGTGTCCCGTCGTCATCGGGTCCAAATGGAGTATGTTTGTTTGTTTATTTGTTTTATTTACCCAGGTGGCCCATCTTTTAGTATGATAGCACTGCAAAATATACATTACATATAACATGTAACAATACATATAACAACCATATACAAGTACAGAAACATGTACAAAACATCTAGGCCTAGGTCATTATCCATATTCATTCGAGTGGCCCCAGGAAATGCGCAAGCGTGGCAACTCCATTTGACGTGATATGCACGGAATGTGCCAACCTCACGTGTTGTGAAGAGATTCACGTTGGGTAAATCTTGAAGACTTCGTTTTCGTAGCAGAGGCCAGCTCTAGTTATAAGCATATTTCTTTCCGTTTCAGTTGCCAACAAATGGATACACGAAGGCGGAAATGAGTTCCGAAGAAAATGCGGCCTCAACCCGAACGAGTGACTAACTCTCTACGATACCCTCGGCGTCCTATAAGGGACCATAAAACTAAATAACTGTTTAGAAAGGGTGACGATATTATAGCAGGTTTGCCGCAGAGAACACCTTCCAATTTTTCTTAACCATTTGACATAGTCATCGATGTTTTCGTATTTTAGGAGATGATTTTCATTTTAATGTCAGCCATTAGTCTGATAGCCAAGACATCCCTAAGGAGGGCGGTAACTAAATTGATGTGGTAGATAGCTATTGGGTTGACAAGGAAGTGATAAAAGTTTGAGACTCATTTGGACAGTGGGTAGTGTGTGATAGCTTAAGGAATGAACTCAGTAACAGTACAGGACCTGGTATTTTCTAACATTGCCGCTAATGAGAAAATCCTACACTCAATGATATAAGCCTTCTAGTCATGGCTCATATACCTCAGCGAGTCAAAAGTATTAGAAATACAAATAATGCCTAGATATTAATTGTATAAATGATAGGTAAAAATTTTTGGCGGAGGTATGGGATCCCTGAATTCTAGTCTAGTGCGGCATATTTTTGCAAAAGCACATCTCCCTGGTTCTATCTGTACACTATCCAAAAGTAATGAATGAATGATTGCATAAATGAATGAATGAAGCTTTATTTGTTTATGTTCCTTGCGCTTTATGCGCCCAGCCCGTATGGGCTTATAAGACAGAGCTGAAATACAGAGCAAATATGAGTCTTTAGGATAGAAACCGCAGCAAAGTTTTAAACAAGTTTGCGGAGCGGGCTAAGATATATCTTCCCGTAAAATGAAACACACACACACACACACACACACACACACACACACACATATGCAAGCAAGAAGGGTACACACCCTTTGGTCAAGGCAACACTGGTTCTGTATCATGACTATGGACGATGCCACACCACTTTGAGCACGGGGGTGTCACCTCAAAACACAGCTAAATGCTCCAAATAATAATAATTTTTTCATCCCGACATCAATAGCTTGCAGCACATCAAATATCAAACATCATGTCAAATAACAAATCCACCAAAAGGATCGTGAGTTACACGTGCAAACACAAAAACACTGCTACGGTACCCCGGTGGGAGGAGGGGCTTCTACATATATCATACATGACATGAACATAAATCACGAAAACAGAGAGGCACAGACATCATCAACCAACACATAGAATGATACAATACAATGCAGGCGTACAGAATACATATTGGATGTCTATTTCCAGTGTAAACTACTGTCATAACCAAAACTGAAACATTCTTCTTGCTTTGTTCACGTTCTCAAACGTTCTATCACATTTGCTTTATACTTCGTCTCAATCCTGCAGATCTTGAGTCACTTGTCGGCTTCTTTGGCGTCTCTTGCCATAGATGTACAGCAGCACGCTTCCCACGCCTACAGCACAGCCTACACAGAACAGGGCGAGGTTCAGCGGCCACGTGGTGTTGTAAACTTTAGAAGCCTCCCCTTCTGCAGAATAACGATACAATTTGCACTTCTGACAATTGTTGGCAAAGAACAAGAGGCCACAAATACTGTATCAACATAAACTTGTATGGAAGAAGGTGCAAACGTATAGTTCATACAAATAATGAAAGAATGATGATATGAAGAAAGTGTCACTCATATATACCTGCTGGCCTTGTCGTCTGGTTAGTGGCCTGCTGAGAAACAATGGTTGTTCGTGGAAGAGTTGGCCGCTGTGTCGTCTGGTTAATGGTGTTCCGAGAAACAGGTGTTCCTGGAAGAGTTGACTGTTGTGTTCCCTGGTCAGTGGTGTTCTGAGAACCAGTTGTTCCTGGAAGAGTTGACCGTTGTGTTCCATGGTTAGTGGTGTTCTGAGTTGTTCCTGGAAGAGTTGGCCGCTGTGTTCCCTGGTTAGTTGGTTCTGTTCCTGGAAGCGTTGGCCGTTGTGTTGTCCGACTGGTAGTTGTTCCTGGGAGGGTTGTCCGTTGTGTCGTTTGGTCCGTAGTGTGCCGAGTAGTAGTTGTCGTGGGTACCTGAGTAGTTTGCTGAGTTGCATCTGGAATTTAAAAAAACGGACACGTCATCCAAACATCATGTCTACTCTAAACCGGCGTCACACAGGCGACGAATTTCTCGATCACAGGAAGGTCGACAAATCTAACAAGAATTCGGAGATCTCATACCTCCATGAAATATGTAAAGTTTATGTAAAATTGTTATTGTGGGGATTTGTCTCATTGTATATGGAAATAAGGTCGTAATTAACAGTTTAAGTTATGGTTTTCCAAACTCAAATTACAATATTTTGACTAAATCGTGATAGACTGGACACCAGGCTACAAAATCTAAGTACGGTGGCTACATAATATATTGGAAAAGGACTGGTGCCACCACATTAGCCATTACTGTAATTTACATGTACATTAATTTTGTAATTGAGAGTCCGGCGAAACAACAAAAGAATGATGACACACAGTATTTGACACTCACCTTACAAACTCCTGTAAGTATCCGTTATGATGACAATGACAACGACGTTTATAGCATATATATTAATGCCCCATTGAGGCTACATGCACGCATCATAAAGTTGTGTACGTAATTATACTTCATACCTAGCTGACAGACGAATCCGACGTCCCAGCTACACGGATAATCATTCCAGTTGGAGCTGTCCACCATCAGGGCACAGTTTTCGGTTTCTCCGTCGGACGTCTGAGCATTGTTTGGTTCAAGGTGGTTCCAGTTGGAATAAGCCAAAGCACTGCCGTCCTGATAAAACCATTCGCCTTCGGTGAAGGCGTCAGTTAAGCCGATCCAGCGGTCTCCCCCGGTTATCAAATTGGAGATAAAAGTGTTGATCTCGCTGTCCTTTGGCATGGCCAGCATCGCCCCGTCTGCCGCACACCTCTGTAAGGCTCCCAAGTATGACGTCTGATCAGCGAACTCTTTGTAGCAAACTTCATTGAAATCGGTGTAGCCCGGTATTGAACAGTCTGTGAATCGAAGAAAACAAGAATTGCTGACTTACTGTAACATATATCCCCTACCATAATACCGCCACTAATCCTGAAATACCGTCAACTTTAAACGCTGAATTTAAAGAGATCTACTAGTGCAGCAACGGTTTATAATTTCCCAGGTATGCACATGTAGACATCCGATGGATTCGAAGACAACGACTAGTATTCGTTTCGTCACTGTTGTTATATAGAGGATCTTATTATGGACCTATTTTGTTTGACACTGTCCTGTACCTCATCACCACTAAAACCTGCAATATCATAACTTCAGACAACGAGCACACGTACTGAGTGCGGGGGACAATATCAAAATGTCTGGGAAGTAAGATAACATACCTCCACTGACGGGTACAGCCAAGAAGAGGATTGAAAGGCAGACTGCTGACAGTAGGGTGTCCATAGCTGCTGTGTGTGTTGTAGTAGTGAAGACGTTGCCAAGTAATTAGAAGCGCTGGCACTCACGTAAACACTGAGTAACATCACGCCTGATTGAAAGGTGTGAGAAATGAGGTAACCTTATAGTTGGTGATCGGGAAGGAGTCAAAGGCCTATTAGGAACCGAAGGTCATCCGTAAGTGCTATTTGAAAATGTCCTTGACCTCAAATTACGCTAGATATGCGGTTTTCAAACTCTTATTACAGTCCTATATAGAAGAGAGAGTAGTATTATGGTCCTTAAAAAGACGTCGAAATAGGGGCATTGTATACTCGAAGTGGCTACTTTGACTGCAGTAGGGACTTGGGGAAGATACAATTTCGTCAGCGATGTTAAGAGCGATGTCATCAGTGTTTGGCGTTAAGTTGTCATGTCAACCTCAAACCGCCTTGTTATCGTACATACGCCAATATTTATGGTGGCGTCGGCGCGCACATTGAGTTTGACCTGTTCTCTAAAAAAAAAACAAGAAATTCCGCTTCCTGTCAGGCCACACCGACTTAATTATATGGATGACATCCGCGCGCGCATTGATTTTAGCCTGTTCTCACGACAAAATAATCACGACAATCTGTCAACCGAATCTCGAGTTATCCTTCTTCGAAAATTTTTCAACAAACGCTCCTACAGTTCTAGAACAAGTTGCTAGGGGGCCCAAACTCATGTCACTTATTTTCTAGCCCAAGAGCTATATCTACTATGCATAATTCGTGACCCTAGCGTGTCCAGATCATGAGATTTCAAAACAGGAAGTTCTGCTGCAGTACCAACAAAAGCCGCCACGGGGCTCAAAATCTACATATCTACATTTCTAGGTCTCATCAAGACCCACCCACCCACCAAGTTATGCTGTTCACAGACAGACAAACAGACGGACAGACAAACGGCAGACACTGCTGAAAGCATAACCTTCCTGGCGAAGGTAAGGAGTTGTGCTTTATGCGCCCAGTCCGTATGGGCTTAAAACACACCAGAAGAAAATACAGGATAAACACAAGTCCGGGATCCTTATGACACAAACCTCTGTGAGGTGCGGAGTGGTGTAAGGTATACATCGTGCCGACAAAATGAAAACACGCTAAAATACAAACACACGCTCCAGCGCGCACTTACACACTCACACGCGCGCACAGGCACACACACACACACACACACACACACACACACACACACACACACACACGCTCGCAAACACACACGCATGCACACACACACACACACGCATACACACACACACATGCACAGACACACACACACATACACACACGCGCGCGCGCGCGCACACACAAACGCACACCAGTACCTGACAATGCTACTAAATCGCCATGTTTCATTATGAAGTCCATAGCTAACCACACATTTAATTTTATACAAATCCTCCATCTGAGTTATACGTTTGAACTTACAAACAGATCCCCGAGGGAACACACAAACAGATGTACAGATTGACATACAGTAATCAACCGTTACTGAACAAAAATGTATAGAATGCAATACAATGCAGGCGTACAGAATGCATATTGGGTGTCTATTTCCAGTGTAAACTACTGTCATAACCAAAACTGAAACATTCTTCTTGCTTTGTTCACGTTCTCAAACGTTCTATCACATTTGCTTTATACTTCGTCTCAATCCTGCAGATCTTGAGTCACTTGTCGGCTTCTTTGGCGTCTCTTGCCATAGATGTACAGCAGCACGCTTCCCACTCCTACAGCACAGCCTACACAGAACAGGGCGAGGTTCAGCGGCCACGTGGTGTTGTAAACCGAACCGGTAGCTTTAAAAGCCTCCCCTCCTGCAGAATAACGATACAATTTGCACTTCTGACAATTGTTGGGAAAGAACAGGAGGCCACAAATACTGTCATAATCAAAATGTATGGAAGAAGGTGCAAACTTATACTTTATAGTTCATACAGCTAACGAAAGAATCAAATGATGATATGAAAACAGTGTCACTCATATATACCTGCTGGCGTTGTCGTCTGGTTAGTGGCCTGCTGAGAAACAATGGTTGTTCCTGGAAGAGTTGGACGTCGTGTCGTCTGGTTAATGGTGTTCCGAGAAACAGTTGTTCCTGGAAGAGTTGTCCGTTGTGCTCCCTGGTTAGTGGTGTTCTGAGAAGTAGTAGTTCCTGGAAGCGTTGGCCGTTGTGTTGTCCGACTGGTAGTTGTTCCTGGGAGGGTTGGCCGTTGTGTCGTCTGGTCCGTAGTGTACCGAGTAGTAGTTGTCGTGGGTACCTGAGTAGTTTGCTGAGTTGCATCTGGAATTAAAAAAAACGGACTCGTTAACCAAATAAAGGACATTCTACAATTAGAACGTCCTTGACCAAACATAATGTCTTTAAACCGGCGTCACACAGTCGACGAATATTTCAATCACAGGAAGGCCGACAAATCTAAAACTCGCCAGATTCGGGCGTTCTTTTCGCCGAGAGTCCACCCTATCATATTTGACGTGGCCCCATATTAAACGGCCGGTGTCACAGCGATCTCGACCCCCTGCGATTTCGGCCTCTCGCGTGGGATGAGATCGCCAGCGATTTCGCCCCCCCCCTCATATATTCGCTCATTTTATACGATTTACAGTATGGTCAACAACTTTTTTTGCAAACGGACGAAACTTCATGCACGCGCGGATGTCATCCATATAATCAAATCAACGTGGCCTTAGTCTACTTTTTTACACCGTACCACAGGTACGTACATGTATGGCAGGTACGTAAATTTGATTGACAATTCTAACGATATTATTACGGGTTCGGTTGAAGCAAGAAAGGGACCTCCTTGGTTAAATTGAAGTATTCCCTGTTGCTATGCTCAACAGCATAGGCATCTCAACAAACCAGGATTTCAGCTGATATATGTTTAAAGTTTCATTGCTAAAATAATAGAGAGTGTATACGTACAACGTAATTCACAGAATAAAACGAAGTACTATGATTAGAATTTTTTAACAAATTTATGTACTTAGACATGCTAAAATGGAAGTTTTCGAGGAAATAACTGATTGTGTGTAGGGGGGGCGAGATTTTAAAAGGGTGCGAGGTGTGTGTGGGGGGGGGGCAAAATCACTGGCGAGGAGGACAAAATCGCTAGAGATTTTTCCCTCATCGCACAATGATTGAGAAAGCACAGGGCGTAGTACAGTACTGCCGAACATGTGGGTTTGACCTTGCAGACTCGTTGGTCGATCGATTTTCTTGTCATGCATGTTTCGGGCGTGTTACAAATACGTTTTGTCGAAAGTGGACGTGGCTACATCATCCGTGTATTAATATTAGATAGATTCGAACGATGTTTCTTAGCTAAAGCGAGGTGTGTTTTTTCTCTGCTTTCAATTTTACATCCCATGTCCCCGAGAGTTTGTCAAATACGGTAGCCTAGTCTACCGCGGTTTGGACGGGCTCTCTTCGGGTCTGTAGTAGCTAGGTCTCCGCCGCCCAGCTCAACTAGGCTGCCCGGCGGGAGTTTCGCACGGCAGGAGTGGATTAACTCACCCCGACTACAAGCCCGAAAAAAAACCCAGGCCTAAATCGTGGTGGACTGGACACCAGGCTACAAAAACTAAGTACGGTGGCTACATAATACATGTATATTGGAAAAGGACTGGTGCCACCACATTAGCCAATACGTGTACATAATTTTGTAATTGAGAACCCGGCGAAACAACAAAAGAATGATGACACCCAGTACTTGACACTCACCTTACAAACTCTTGTAAGTATCCGTTATGATGAAAATGACAACGTTTATCGCTTAATGATGCACCATTGAGGCTAAATGCACTTAGCATAAAGTTGTGTACGTAATTATACTTCATGACATACCTAGCTGACAGACGAATCTCATGTCGTCGCCACACCCAAGATCATTCCATTCGGAGTTGTCCAACATCTGGACACAGTCTTCCCCGCCGGAAGAATCGTTCGGTTCACCGTCCTTCCAATTGGTATAACCGGCTGACGCCAAAGTACTGCCGTCCTGAAATACCCATTCACCTTCGACAAAGGCGTCAGTTACGCCGATCCAGCGTCCTCCAGCGATGTCCCCCTCGGTTATGAAATCGGAGATAAAAGCGTTGGCCTCGCTGTCCTTTGGCATGGCCAACATTGCCCCGTCTGCCGCACACCTCTGTAAGGCTCCCACGTATGTCGTCCGATCAGGAAAGTCTTTGTAGCAAACTCCATTGAAATCGGTGTAGCCCAGTATTGGACAGTCTGTGACTCGAAGAAAACAAGAATTGCTGACTTACTGTAACATCCCCTACCATAATACCGCCACCAATCATATAATGCCGCCAACTTTACAAACGCCTGCTGAATGTAAGAGATCTACTAGTTCAGCAATGGTATATAATTTCCCAGATATGCACACTTTAGACATCCGACGCATTCGAAGACAAGACTTAGTATTCGTTTAATTTCTTCACTGTTGTTATATAGAGGATCTTATAACGGACCTGTTTTGTTTGACACTGTCCGGACGTCCCGTACCTAATCACCACCTACAATATCATAACTTTAGACAACGAGCAAACATACTGAGGGCGGGGGACGATATCAAAATGTGTGGGAAGTATTTATAACATACCTCCACTGACGGGTACAGCCAAGAAGAGTATTGAAAGGCAGACTGCTGACAGGGTGTCCATAGCTGCTGAAAGTTTTACAGTAGTAAAAACTGAGTAACATCACGCCTGATTCAAAGGCGTGAGAAATGAGGTAACCCTATATTGATTGGGAAGGCCGTCAGCGCTATTGCAAAATGTCGTCCTTGACAGCAAATTACACTAGATATGCGGTATTCAAACTCTTATTATAGTCCTTGAAAAGGCGTCAAAATAGGGGTATTGTATGTATGTGGCTACGAAGTGGCTACTTTGACTGCAGTAGGGACTTGGGGAAGATATGATTTCGTCAGCAGTGTTAAGACCTATGTCATCAGTAATGTTTAGCGCTTAGTTGTCATGTTAACCTGGAACCACATTGTGATCGTACATAAACAGTTACAACTGGACTGAAAATAGAATTACAAGCACCACGTCTAGCCTCATTCGCAGTCTTGTTGGGTGTCGGCGTTATTTTTTTTCTGTGAGCGACGCCAGTAATATGCCGCCGCGAGGGACGATTTGCTGCC